TAAGAAGGGTGTCAGGCCACCAGCACCCTCCCTTCTCCTCCCCCCAAGACACTTTAGCCACCTCACCATAAAGAAGGTATAATAATGCCTGTTGTATATGGACTGGTCAGGCACTGGTCTCTGGGGGGCCAGGTGCACACTGTCTGGGGTCAGTACACTGGCCCCTCGGGGGCCAGGTGCCACTGGCCTCGGGGGGGCCAGGTACACTGGCCCTGGGCCAGGCACCAGCCCTGGGGGGCTCAGGCACACTGGCCCTGGGACCAGGTGCAGAATCATCTCGGGGGGCCAGGTGCACACTGGGCCCGGGGGGACTCAGTGGCACTGGCCCGGGGGATCAGGTGCCACTGGCCTCGGGGGATCAGGTACACTGCCCCGGGGGCCAGGCATCAACTGCACCAGGTACACTGGCCTGGGGGTCAGGTGCACACTGCCCTGGGGGCCAGGCAGCACTGGCCCTGGGGGCTAGTGCACACTGGCCTCCTGGGGGACTATTAGGCATACTGGCCTCGGGGGCCAGGGGGTCAGGTGTACACTGCCTGGGGGACCAGGCACACCGTCTTCAAATAGTGGCACTCGGCCTTGGGGATCAGTGTACACTGGCCTCGGGGGTCAGGGGTAAGCACTGCCCCTGTGGGGATCAGGTGGCACTGGCCCCTGGGGAAACCAGGGTACACTGGCCTGGGGGCCAGGCACTGGCCTGGGGATCAGGGTGGCACTGGCCCTGGGGGTTAGGTACATTGGCCTTGGGGGTCAGGGGTACACTGGCCTGGGGGTCAGGGATGCATCACTGGGGCCAGGTGTACACTGGCCTCTGGGGCCAGGGGTGTGCACTGGCCTGGGGGCCAGGCGTGTACTGGCCTCAGGAGTCAGGGTACACTTACTAAGGTTTACATTTGATCCCTGGGAACAGGCACGCACCAAGGCCTACACTGGCCCTCAAAACAGTACACCCCACCCTGGCTGGCCCACACCGGCCCCTGGGAAAATGTGCACACCACCCTGGCCATTCCCCACACCAGTCCTGTAATGCACCCACCGGCCCACACCCCATCCTGAAAAATGTGCACACTCACTGGCTGCCCACATCCCATCCCAAACAGGCACACGCAACCACACTGGCTCCAAAATGCCACACCTGCCAGCTCACACTCATCTCAAACAGTACACTGGTCATTCTTACACTGGCCTCAAAACAGGTGCTACACTCACTGAGACACCATCTCAGATCTGCACACTCTATTTGTCCCCCACCTGTCCAATTCACCTATATATACCTGACTCACCATTGTGTGTTGAAGGCTGTCATGTGTGTTGTATTACTTTATTATTCTGTACAGGAAAAAAATTATTCTTTGGTACTGGAGCACTGGGAGGTAACTGGTAATAAGAGAGAGGATTAAATGAGGGAATCTAGAGTCGATTTCACTATCAAGGTCGTCTTGAATACACGCCTTTACTTCCGAACTGCCAAACTGTTTCGTGTGTTAGTGTGTGGTGAAATGGTGTTAGTAACTTGTTGAGGTTAGTGTGCAATTATTAGGTTTTTCGTGTCTCAAAATTATTGTGCTATTGTAATTGGTTACTGTTATGTTATAGTTCTATGTATGTTTTTCTTTATGTAAATGTTTAGCTAAAGACGTACTGTAGTGGTTGTTTATCGAGTTATCCTCGGGATGAATGTTGCGATGTTCTTTTGTTTAATCCCAACCTAGCCAACCCTGTAACCTTACCTTACCCAAATTAAACTAACTCTAACTCAGTTAACTCCTTCCAGCTTAACATTAGAATATTTATCCATTAAATCAATCTGTGGTTTATTCTTCAGTGATCTTGTTAAAAAATATATATATAATATATTTTTTGTCTGCTAGTTGATACAACGAATATTTGACTTTCTAATATCAAACAGATATAAAATAACTTTGTTTATTTATTTATTTTAAATTAATATGTTATTATTTTCCATAACAAATACAGTAATTATAACTTATATTTTATTATAGCTTCTATTTTCATTATTGTAAATAAAATATATATGTATCGTTGATATACTGTATTATTATATTTATGAATTTTTGTATTTTTTTTCCTATAATTGTAATCTATATGTATTTGTAATTCAGAACCAACTGGCTTGCTGTACTGGGTGTATTGTGTGTTGTGTCGGTGTGTATGGCTACTGTTGTTAGTATCAACACGTGATTATTTTTATACTACGGTCTATACATCTCTGCTGAAATGCTGCCTGCCTTGTGTGTGTGTGTGTCGTATTTTGCAGGTGCTCTGCATCAATATCCCAGTGACTAGCTATTATGTATCCGGGATTCCTGCTCTGTACATATATGCTGCAATATTCTTGCCCTATAGTGTGTTTCTATCGTTATGGCTCAAGAATTGTTAGTGAGCTGTTGATATGTTTTAAACTCATCCTATTTAAATATCTATCTTCATTTATGAGCAACATTACCTTATTCTCGTGCTGCAACATTGCCTTTTAGTGCTGCAAACGTTATCAGTTTGGAGTGTTTACTATTTATGATCTTATTTTAACCTTGCAACACTCATTAACGCGTTGTGTTATCTACGTTCTTGTATGAACGTTTAAGTGCTGCAGAGTGTGTTGTGGTTTGCTTGTCCCTTGTGCTGGGCAGATGTCAGCTCTGCTGTTCCTTGTGCTGCAGTGTCGCCTGTTGTCTGTGGTGTGTCAGGTTTGCTGCTGTACAGTGACAGGTTTATGTTGTAGAGTGTGTTTTATGTTGCAGAGTGTCAGTTTAAGTGCTGCAGAGTGTCAGGTTTGCTGTCTCAGGTGTTAAATGTAAGGTTTTGTTGTTCTTTAATGTACAGTGGCAAGTTGAAGTTGTTCTTGTGTTGCACAGTGTCAGGTTTACAAGGTATAGTGTAAGGTTTGTATGCTGTACAGTGTCAGGTTTAAGAGCTGCACAGTGTCAGGTTGTAAGTGTTGCACAGTGCAGGTTTGTTGCTCCCTTGTGTTTGCATAAGTGGGCAGGCTTTTCTATACAGGTCAGGTTATGTTGCAGTGTCAAGTTTGTTGTTCCCTTGTGTTGCACAGTGTCAGGGTTTTGGTTGTCTTGTGTTGCAGAGTGGCAGAAGACAGAGCCCTGTAAGCCCGGGAGAAGTTGCTGCTTGATGAGTTAGTGACCGTCGCTCATCAAGCGAGATGAGCTTTCAGTCATCCACCTGGACAACATGTGGAGAGGGGTGAGTACCTGTGTCTCATTAATTCTGTGTTTCACCCAGCCCACCTGTGTCTTACCCAGGTTCCACCTGTGTCTCATTAAATGTATCTTACTTTATTCCACCTGTGTTCCCACCCTACCCTTTGTTCCACCTGCAGTCTCTTAAAATGCATCCATGTGTCCCACCCAGGTCTCCCCACCCTTATTCCAATCTGTGTCCCCTTAAAATGCATCCTATGTGTCCCACCCAGTGTCCCATTCCACCCCTGGTTCCTGTGCCTCCATCTCACCCCAGTCCCCACTCCCCACACACACACACGTCTGTGTGAGTGTGAGGAGGTGTGTGAGTGTGTGTGATAATAATAATAAACGGTCGACATTAGAGCTTTTAAGCCAGGCTGAAAATATACAGATTTACATTGCACTTATACAATGATATAGCTATGCATTGAATACATTTACAGGGCTGTACATAAATCAGAGTTGTTTATTATTTTAACAATAGATGGGAGTTTAAGTCGTTCTGACATCTATTTAAAAGGGCTCTTACATGAATTTGTTGTAGTGGTGGACTGTCTTGAGTGGGTGGGGGCAGGAGGTGTGCGATGACGAGGGTGAAAGAGTAGTCCACTGCCAAACCTTCCAGTGCTTGGTGGTGGAGGTCATTTGAGGGATGGTACTTCCAGGTGGAGAGAGTTGCTGATGTACGAGTATCTTGTGCTGAGCATGACTTGCAGGCCCTTTCTGTACCCTTCTAGCTGACGTTGTTGGGTGGAGTTGAGAGAAGACGACCAGGCTGGTGACGTTATCAGCTGGGGAGAAGCCAAAGTGCTGTAGATGTATCCCTAGCTCATGTGGGTGTCTCTAAGTGACCTAAGTCGTCGGCAGCATGAGATGATACGAGTGTTGCCTGATCAGCATTTACGGGCCTTCCAGTCAAGTTTGTTGTCTATGTTTCCATGGGAGTTTGGTAGATCTGCAATTGAGCTGGAGGATGGGCACCTGCTCTGTGACTGCTGGGGCTTGCACTGGAGTGGTGGCGGCATTGATGTGCATGATTATGGCTTTGGTGTGGTTGTGGTTGAGTCTCTGTGGTCCATGCCTAGCTCTGTCCGGGTGTCTTGGGTGGTGTTGGTGGTGTTTGTGTGTGTGTGTGTGGGCATCTGTATCTCCAGCACCTCCCCAGTGGTCTCTGGGTTCTTGTTGACTTCTCTGTGTCTCCTCTCTCTCTCAGTCCGTCTCCCCAGCCTGTCTCCTCCCCAGCCTGTCTCCTCCCCCAGCCTGTCCCTCCCCAGCCTGTCTCCCCCAGCCTGGCTGCCTCCCCAGTCTGGCCTCCCAGTCTGGGGCCTCCCCCAGCCTGCCCCCCCAGCCCGGGGCTGCTCTCCCCAGCCTGCTGCCCAGCCTGCCTCCCCCAGCCCGGCTGCCTCCCCAGCCCGTCTCCATCCCCAGCCCGCCGCCCCCCAGCCTGGGGCCTCCCCCAGCCCGTCTCCCCAGCCTGTCCCTCCCCCCAGCCCGTGCTGCCTCCCCCCAGCCTGTCCCCCCAGCCCGTCTCCTCCCCCCCTGGTCTGCCCTCCCCAGCCTGTCGCCCCCCAGCCTGTCTCCTCCCCCCAGCCTGGGTCTCCTCCCCCCAGTCTGTCTCCTCCCCAGCCTGTCTCCCTCCCCAGCCCGTCCTCCCCAGCCTGTCTCCCTCCCCAGCCTGTCTCCTCCCCAGCCTGTCTCCCTCCCCCAGCTCCGTCTCCCCCCAGCCTGCGCCTCCCCAGCCTGTCTCCTCCCCCAGCCCGTCTCCCTCCCCAGCCTGCTGCCCCCAGCCCGCCGCCCCCAGCCCGCCGCTTCTCCCAGCCCGTCTCCCTCCCCAGCCCGCCGCCCCCCCAGCCCGGCTGCCTCCCCCAGCCCGCCGCCTCCCCCAGCCCCCGGCTGCCTCCCCAGCCTGCCGCCCCCCCAGCCCGCCCCCCAGCCCGCTGCCTCCTGCAGCCTGCCGCCCCCAGCCCGCCGCCCCCCAGCCTGCTGTCTCCCTCCCCCAGCCACTGCCGCCTCCCCCAGCCTGTTGCCTCCCCCCAGCCCGGTCGCCTCCCCCAGTCCGTCTCCCCCCAGCCTGTCTCCCCGCCCCCGCCCCCAGCCCGTCTCCCTCCCCCAGCCTGCTGTCCTCCCCCAGCCTGTCTCCTCCCCCAGCCCGTCTCCTCCCCTCTGTGCCTCCTCCCCCAGCCCGCCGCCTCCCAGCCTGTGTCTCCCTCCCCCAGCCCGCTGCCCCCCAGCTCCCGCCGCCTCCCAGCCCTGTTGTCTCCCCCCAGTCCGCTGTCCCCGTCCGCCGCCTACCCCAGTCCGCTGCCTCCCCCAGTCCGTCTCCCCCCCAAGGTCTCCCCCAGCCTGTCTCCTCCCCAGCCCGCTGCCTGTCTCCTCCCAGCCCAGTCTCCCTCCCCCCCACCTGTCTCCTCCCCCAGCCCGTTTCCTCCCAGTCTGTCTCCTCCCCAGCCTGTTGTCTCCCCCCAGCCCGTCGCCCTCCCCCAGCCTGGCTCCTTCCCCAGCCTGTCTCCTCCCCAGCCTGTCTCCTCCCCAGCCCGTCTCCCTCCCCAGCCCGTCCTCCCCGCCTGCCTCCCCCAGCCTGCGCCTCCCTCCCCAGCCCGTCTCCTCCCAGCCCGTCTCCTCCCAGCCCGTCTCCCCAGCCTACAGCCTTTCTCCTCCCCAGCCTGCTCCCTCCCCCAGCCCGTCTCCCTCCCCCAGCCCGTCTCCTCCCCTGCTGTCTCCCTCCCCAGCCTGTCTCTCCCCCAGCCTGTCTCCCTCCCCCAGCCAGCTGCCCTCAGCCTGCTGTCTCCCCCAGCCCGCTGTCTCCCCCCACCTGGGTCTCTCCCCAGCCTGCCTCCCCAGCCTGTCTCCCCCCCAGCCTGCTGTCCTCCCCAGCCCGCTGCCCCCCCAGCCAGCTGCCTGTCTCCTCCCCAGCCCGCTGCCTCCCCAGCCTGCTGCCCTCCCCCAGCCCGGCTGCCTCCCCAGCCCGTCGCCTCCCCAGCCTGTCCTCCCAGCCCAGGGCCTCCCTCCCAGCCTGCCACCTCCCCCCAGCCCGCTGCCTCCCCCCAGCCCAGCCGCCCTCCCCCCAGCCTGCCGCCCCCTCCCCCAGCCCGCTGGCCTCCCCCCCCCAGCCTGCTGTCTCCAGCTGTCCCCTCCCAGCCAGCCGCCTCCCCCAGCCCAAGGCCTCCCCCCAGCCCGCTGTCTCCCCCAGCCTGTCTCCCCTGCCTGTCTCCCCCTGCCAGTCTCCTCCCCCAGCCTGGTCTCCCTCCCCCAGCCCGCCTCCCAGCCGTCTCCCTCCCCAGCCTGTCTCCCTCCCCCAGCCACTGCTGTCTCCCTCCCCCACCACCTGTCTCCCTCCCCAGCCACTGCTGTCTCCTCCCCAGCCACTACTGTCTCCTCCCCCCATCCACTGCTGTCTCCTCCCAGCCACTGTTGTTTCCCTCCCGCCACCGTTGTCCTCCTCCCCCAGCCACTGTTGTCTCCTCCTCCAGCCACTGTTGTCACCCCTCCCTAGCCACTGTTGTTTCCTCCCTAGCCACTGTTGTTTCCCCTTCAGGTCACTGTTGTCTCCCCTCCCCAGCCACTGTTGTTTCCCTCCCTAGCCACTGTTGTCTCCCTCCCGCCCTGCTGTCTCCCTCCCCAGTCCTGCTGTCTTCCTCCCCAGCCACTGTTGTGCCCTCCCCCAGCTGTCGTCTCCCTCCCCTTCCACTGTTGTTTCCATCCCCGGTCACTGTTGTCTCCCTCCCCCAGCCACTGTTGTCTCCTCCCCCAGCCACTGTTGTTTCCATCCCTTCACTGTTGTCTCCTCCCCCAGCCACTGTTGTCTCCTCCCAGCCTTCCCACGTCTCCTCCCAAGCCACTGCTGTCTCCTCCCCAGCCACTGCTGTCTCCCCCCCAGCCACTGCCTCCCCAGCCACTGTTGCCTCCTCCCCCAGCCACTGTTTTTCCTCTGTCAGTGCTGGGCCTCCCCCAGCCACTGTGTCTCCCTCCCCCAGCCATTGTTGTTTCCTCCCTGCCACTGGTGTCTTCCTCCCCAGCCTGCTGTCTCCCTCCCCAGCCACTGCTGTCTTCCTCCCCAGCCACTGCTGTCTCCCTCCCCAGCCCTGCTGTCTCCTCCCCAGCCACTGCTGTCTCCTCCCCAGCCACTGTTTCTCCTCCTGAGCCACTGCTGTCTCCTCCCCAGCCACTGCTGTCTCCGTCCCCAGCCACTGTTGTCTCCCTCCCCAGCCACTGTAGTCTCCTTCCCCCCAACCCTATTGTCTCTCCCCCAGCCTGTTTCTCCTCCCCGGCCACTGGTGTCTTCCTCCCCCAGCCTGCTGTCCAGCCACTGTTGTCTCCCCTCCCCCCAGCTGTTGTTTCCCTTCCAGTCACTGTTGTCTCCCTCCCCCCACTGCTGTCTTCCTCCCCAACCTGTTGTCTCCCTCCCCAGCCACTGTTGTCTCCCTCCTCCAGCACTGTTGTCACCCTCCCCACTTCACTGTTGTTTCCCTTCCAGTCTCTGTTGTCTTCCTCCCCCAGCCACTGTTGTCTCCCTCCCCCAGCCACTGTTGTCTCCTCCTCCAGCCACTGTTGTCACCCTCCCTAGCCACTGTTGTTTCTCCTTCCGGTCACTGTTGTCTTCCTCCCCCAGCCACTGCTGTCTCCGTCCCCCAGCCACTGTTGTCTCCTCCTGGCCACTGTTGTCTCCCCCCAACCCCTGTTCTCCTCCCCCAGCCACTGTTTGTTTCTTCCGAGACTGTTGTCTTCCTCCCCCAGCCACTGCTGTCTCCTCCTCCAGCCACCTAGCCATCACCCTCCCCAGCCACTGCTGTCCTCCCTCCCCCCAGCCACTGCTGTCTCCCTCCCAGCCACTGCTGTCTCCCTCCCCAGCCACTTGCTCCTCCCCTCCAGCCACTGTCACCCTCCCCTAGCCACTGTTGTTTCCTTCCCGGTCACTGTTGTCTTCCTCCCCCAGCACTGTTGTCTCCTCCCCCAGCCACTGTCGTCTCCTCCCCTTGTTGTTTCCTCCGTTCACTGTTGTCTCCTCCCCCAGCCTGTTGTCTCCCTCCCCAGCCACTGTTGTCTCCCTCCCCAGCCACTGTTGTTTCCATCCCGTTCCTGTTGTCTCCCTCCCCCAGCCACTGTTGTCCCCTCCCCCAGCCACTGCTGTCTCCCTCCCCCAGCCACTGCTTCTCCCTCCCCCAGCCACTGCTGTCTCCCCCCAGCCACTGCTGTCTCCTCCCCCAGCCACTGCTGTCTCCCTCCCCAGCCACTATTGTCTCCCTCCCCCAGCCACTGTTTTTCTCTGTCGGTCACTGGTGTCTCCCTCCCCCAGCCACTATTGTCTCCCTCCCCCCAGCCATTGTTGTTTCCCTCCCTGCCACTGGTGTCTTCCTCCCCAGCCTGCTGTCTCCCCCAGCCACTGCTGTCTTCCTCCCCAGCCACTGCTGTCTCCCTCCCCAGCCACTGCTGTCTCCTCCCCCAGCCACTGCTGTCTCCTTCCCAGCCACTGTTTCTCCTTCCCGAGCCTGCTGTCTCCTCCCCAGCCACTGCTGTCTCCCTCCCCAGCCACTGTTTCTCCTCCCCGAGCCACTGTGTGCTCTCCTCCCCCAGCCTGCTGTCTCCGTCCCCAGCCACTGTCTTCCTCCCCCAGCCACTGCTGTCTCCGTCCCCAGCCACTGCTCCCTCCCCAGCCTGTTTCTCCTCCCCAGGCCACTGCTGTCTCCTCCCCCAGCTGCTGTCTCCTCCCCCAGCCACTGTTTCTCCTCCCCGAGCCTGGTGTCTTCCTCCCCAGCCACTGCTGTCTCCCTCCCCCAGCCACTGGTGTCTTCTCCCCCAGCCACTGCTGTCTCCGTCCCCAGCCACTGCCTCCCTCCCCCAGCCACTGTTTCTCCCTCCCGAGCCACTGGTGTCTTCCTCCCCAGCCACTGCTGTCTCCGCCCAGCACTGGTGTCTTCCTCCCCGAGCCACTGCTGTCTCCCTCCCCCAGCCACTGTTGTCTCCCTCCCCCAGCCACTGTTTGTCTCCTTCCCCCAACCCCTGTGTCTCCCTCCCCAGCCACTGCTGTCTCCCTCCCCCAGCCTTCTGTCTCCCTCCCCAGCACTGTTTCTCCCTCCCCGGAGCCACTGCTGTCTCCCTCCCCCAGCCACTGCTGTCCTCCCCAGCCTGTTTCTCCCTCCTCGAGCCACTGGTGTCTTCCTCCCCCAGCCACTGTCTCTCTCCTCCCCAGCCACTGTTTCCTTCCGGTCAATGTTGTCTCCTCCCCCAGCCACTGCTGTCTCCCTCCCAGCCACTGTTGTCTCCCTCCCCCAGCCACTGTTGTCTCCCTCCCCCAGCCACTGTTGTCTCCTCCCCCAGCCACTGTTGTTTCCTCCCGGTCATTGGTGTCTCCCTCCCCCAGCCTGTTGTTTCCCTCCCAGTCACTGTTGTCTCCTCCCCCAGCCACTGTTGATTCCTCCCCCAGCCACTGTTGTCTCCCTCCCCCAGCCACTATTGTCTCCCTCCCCAGCCACTGTTGTTCCCTTCCGGTCATTGGTGTCTCCTCCCCGCCACTGTTGTTTCCCTTCCGGTCACTGTTGTCTCCTCCCCCAGCCACTGTTGTCTCACTCTCTCAGCCTCTGCCTTCCCTCCCCAGCCATTGTTTCCCTTCCCGGTCACTGTTGTCTCCTCCACAGCCACTGCTGTCTCCCTCCCAGCCACTGTGTCTCCCTCCCCCAGCCACTGTTGTCCCTCCCCCAGCCACTGTTGTCTCCTCCCCCAGCCACTGTTGTTTCCCTCCCGGTCATTGAGGTCTCCCTCCAGCACTGTTGTTTCCCTCCCGTCACTGTTGTCTCCCTCCCCCAGCCACTGTTGATTCCCT